AGTTGAATGATGTGCATTAGTATTTGTGAGAGGGGTGAGGGAAGCTACAGTTGATGCTTTAATTTGCCTTAAATCAAAACGTAAAAAAAAAAAAGAGAGAGAAAAAGCTAAAAACAATCCTAAACAGCTCTATGTCCATAGTGCTGGTAGAGGCCAATGTGTACATGCCACTGAAAGGCACGGAAGGACCAATCTGAGAAATGGCATCACCAGAGCAGGAGAGCAACTTTTCACTGGAGTAATCACAACAGGCGAACGACGAGCCATCACTTCTCTCTTGTCAGGAGCACAGAAAGCAGTCACCAAGGCAAAGAGGGGACACAGGAAAGAAGAAACAGGAACTCACATAAACCTGTAACACGGAAAACACGTGTCAGCCGCGCTCGGAGCGCCTCGACGCCCCCGCTTCTCCCTGGAAGCGCGTTTCCAAACGGGGCGCTGCAGGAACGCCGCTGCGCACAGGGATCTCACCCCGGCCTTCCTCACCGCCCTGCTGGGGCCGAGCCCGACACTTACCGGGACGGTCTCCCCAGGGTTATCCCGCCTTCGTGGGGAGACACGAGAGGCGGCTCAGGAGGCCGCCCGCGCCTGGCCCTGCGCCGCTTCCCGGCGCTCCCCGTCCAAGCTCTCCGCGGGAGCAGCGGGGGCTGGCGCTGGTGCAGAGGTTTTCCCTCTCTCCCGAAGAAAACCAGCTGATTCAGGCTTTCACTGCGCTGCTTCATTACTCAAGGAAATTAATCAGATCTCTCGCTGGCTTCCAGCTCTGCTCCATCTGACAAGCTGTAATTTACTTGGCTGTACGGGAACCGTTCTTTGCTAAGTGCCATCAAGCAGTGAAGTTAACATCACCACCAAGTTAAAAATACAGCAGACAATGTCGGAAGCGTCTGGATAGTATCTGCACAGTGCGGCTAATTTTGGAGCACATGAAACAAAAGGGCTTTCCACATCAGAAAGCTGCCTCTGGCATGGGGAAGTTTGCTTGGGGGCTGTTTGTTTGTCTACTTTTCCTCAGAATAAAAGAATAAACTTTTTTCCTTAATTGATACTAGTTCTTTAATCCACAGCAGATTTATTTTTTAAACCATACTCAACCTATCAACTTCTCTAGAAATAATTTATTTGAAGTTATTTCTAGACTGGTGCAAGCAAATGCACAAAGCGCAGCCCCCTGCTACCACCCACACCACTCTGGCTTTCATTGCCTTTTTTTCAGTGAAAAGGAAGAGAGAACACGGTTTTCTTTTGTGCTTGTGCTGCATGAATCAAAATAATCATCATCCCGTGCCTGCGGGAAGACAGCTCTGATGTGAAAGGTTTGGGTTTTCTTCTTCTATTTACACCCAAGCGCGCACACAACACGCACGCAATGAGCATGAAGTAACCCATGCATTTAAAGGTGCAGCTGCCCAAATCACCTGCAGCAAGAAACCAATGTCTGCAAGGCCCTGCTCAAAATACCTCCCAGGCAGCTCTTTCATATGCCTCAGAGACCGCCCCAAAATGTTCCCCCAAAAAGCTACACTAAAACAGGGGTGGAGCTTTGTCTCTGGGTGTCTTGCATGGTCTTTTCCCCTGAATGCAAAGACAAAACCCGTGACACTGTTCTAAGCAGCCCTCCACAGGGAAGCAGCCTCCCTCCCTGCCTCAGATAAACCAGGACTGCTCCTTCCTGCATGCCCAGACCCCAACTGGAGTGAAAAGGTCCTGTTTAAGGGCCTTTGCCTTCGGGAGCAGACGGGGGCCTCTCCATGCCTGTGCACGGCACTCGGAAAAGCCACCTTCTAGCTCGGTGCTTTGCTCAAGCTGCGCAGCTGGGGGTAAAACAAGGTGGCTCCCAAAGCAAAAGGAACCCTCTCGCGAAATCAAGCATTTTTCAGTAGCAATCCTGTGTCCATCTATCTCATTAACAAAAAGCTAGGGCAGAGGACAGAGGCTGGACAGCAGACACAGAGCAAGTCTAATTCTCATGCTGACCAGGTGGCACTCCCAAAGCACCCTCCTTGGAGGCAATCTCATCTAGCAGCACAAAGAAGCACCATTTCTCCTCCTTCCAAGACAGCAATGCCTTCTGACGATACATAACGACACACAACGTCTGTGCTCTTCCCTGCCTGGCATCGAATTTAGATACTCTACAGATGCAATAATCCTGGATGGGGAGAAGGGTTGCACCAATTAAAGATCACACAATCTGTTGTGCTGGGGAGCCATCTCATTAATTCCTTTCTTTACCATTTTTCCCCTCCCTGTTAGGATTAGAAAATAGCACAGATGGTCCTCGAGAAAGAAAACAAAAGAAAACTAAAAGCTGCAATACATGAAATTGAAGGAGAGACTGTGGTGTATGAAGCAGAAATATAAAGCAAGAAACTTCAGCAGGGAACACAAAGGTAAAAAGGAGGTAGGTGCAGGGAAGGAGAAGGGAACCGCGCACAAGGGCTCCTACTGTTTAATTTCACCTTTGACAAAGAAGCAAGGGTCTCTGTGGGGAATGAATGCAAACAAAAAGCACAATATTTCAGTAGTCTGAAAACTACTGCAATTGAAAGTATGAGGATGCATAAAGAACAATGCTGATGAAAAGACACAGAGCAGACACTGCATAAAGAACTCCATTTACAGAGAAGAAAAAGCTAACAAAATTCCAGGTGGTTCGCCCGAGGTTTTTAGAAGGCAGAAGGTACAAACTGGTGGATGTCCACACTATGAAGAAAGTTAAGTAGAAGAATAACACATGGAGATTACACTGGTCTTGGATGCGACACTGTAAAGGATGAACAAGGAAGCAGGATGAAGTATTCCCACGTTATGTTACTAAGGAAGAGGCAGAAAAATAAACACCAGGAAAAGGATTTACGCTTCTGAAAAGAGAGGCATTTTCCATAAAAATTATTCTGATATGAGGCCAGAAAAATCACCTTGGCCATTGACCAAGCACATTAACACCAGCACATTAACATGGAAAGATAAGAGGGGAGGGGAAAGAGGAGGGGAGGGGAAAGAGGGGAGGGGAGGGGAAAGAGGGGAGGGGAGGGGAAAGAGGGGAAAAGAGATGTAGCCAGGTGTGAGTATTCAAAATGAAAGAATGAAGTCCACATGGGCAGGATCCAGTGAGCGGGACTTTGTGCATGGCAAGGGGGTCCAAGGCCGCGCGTCTGCCTGCGCCCTTGTGACGGATATGCTCCTCCCCCAGCTCATCCTGACTTCTCACACGTAGCCCTGCTCAGGTGTTAACTACCACATTATCTGATCCTGGTAGTTGCCTCCCTGATTTCTTCCCCCACC